GTATTAGATTAAGCGTCATTAGAAACTAGAATTGTTTCCGCTCTATTTATATACCGGGGTTATGGTGTTTGTACTTGTTTATATCGATAGTGGATTTCTCTCACCCATGGACGTAAGCAGGTTATGCCGAACAACGTAAATATCGTGTCTCTTTGTGTGGAGTGATTTTATTCCTATGTTATTCATCTCAAAAGTATGTTTTCTGCAGCGTGATCTCCTAACAGAAACTACCATCATGCTTCACGTCATCCATTAGTCTTGGTGAGCAGTCGCAAACTACCCAAATTGATATGTCTTTGACTGTCAGTCTTGCATGCATCGGCGATGACTCTAGTAACGTGATTTTGGTGACAATGGTGGTGATTGGCCAGTGATTGTCGTGGTTATAGTGGTTGGGGTAGAATGATAATTTATTTATTTATTTTAATTTAAATAATTACTAAATTATTAAATGATAAAAATTTAAATAAAATGTTTCAAAGGTAATATGGGAATTTTTATTTGAAACAGAGGCAAGGAATGAATTTCCACCCATCCCTTACCCTTGGAATGGGTATTCCTCTGTTAGGATCCCACATCGAGATCTCTCACCCACCAAGTGTGGTACTTAAGCCTAGGGGTTCTCCCACTTATCAGGTCGGTCTTTTGAGTTGCGCTCTCCCTTGAGCTTGAGTTCTAACATTAGTGCTTTTCCTTGAGAGTTGGGTTGCAGAAAAGGCTACCTATAGGCTAGATTAAGGTGCAATGGGCTCTCATTGGGAGAGAGTGCTACATCGAATAATCGATAGGTGAGTGAAGCCGCCCAAAAGGGGAAAGGGCTACCGTCAGGTTAGTGTCGATATAGTGAAAGCCGCCGTTGACGTCAGCTCTTGAAAGAGGGGGGGAGGGGGATGCAATGTTAGGATCCCACATCAGGATATCACACCCACCAAGTGTGGTACTTAAGGCTAGGGGTTCTCCCACCTATCAGGCTAGCCTTTTGAGTTGGACTCTCTCTTGGGTTTGAGTTCTAACATTTGAATGATAGGGTTTGGGATAAGATCTGTTTATATGAAGAACAGAGACCTCCAAGAACAAGAGACATAGAAATTAATTGACAAAATTCTTCAATGATAACCACAATCTAGATTTAGGCTATTATATAGCCTTACAACAAATGACTCCCAAAGGGACTCTTCTAGTCTAATTGCATGATAGAATAACTGTCATTCCTAATTTAAAAGATATCATAATTGTAAGATATCCTAAATGCCTAATTCTACTTATTGTATCCTTTTTGGATATCTCCTAAATCATCCCATAATCGGGTTCCTAACATTGCCTTTCCCTTCAGATCAACCTTGTCCTCAAGCTTGTAGGGTACTACAACATAAATTGTATATGTTGTCGAAGCTAAGACCTCTAATCGTGATCAACCATAAGAAATCAGTTAGCACAAATGAGGGCCAAGGCAATAAAGAGACAACCAATGTTCCATCGCCAGGGTAAAAAATCAACACGTTAAAGAGAGACTCCTTTTGGTCACCAAGTAAATCCAAGAGAAGATGATGAACCAAATTAAGTTCCCATCTAGGATAAGCTTTCCCAGTGACGGCTTCAGAGGTCGTGCCAAGGATGCTATGATAGCCAACTCGAAGTGGAGAGTTGGGCAACACTGCCAAGGAGAGAGCGAAACGCGTGGAAGGCTGGGTGAGGGGTGTCTACAGTGGTGAAGGATTGTTAGTAGTATAACCGAGAGGAACCAAAGGAAGGTCAACAGTACGTTGGTCGCCAGTGACAATCGCAACATAATCGGAAGAATGGCTGATGGAGCCTACTTGAGAAATGACTTTCAGTTTCGGGGAAAAGGCCATTGGTTATGGTTGTTGTATGGCTTTATCCAACTAGGATTCCAATACTAGGAGTTGCCGTGAAATTTCATTGAGAAGAACATCCATTGAATCAAGCTTTGTGCCTTGCAAAGACTGAATAGCTGTCAACTTGATTACCTAGTCTTCTAGATCTTCCGGAGTGCGAAGTTGAAGTCCATTTGCCTGCGTGTGTTTCGCCAGTTGCCCTTGATAATCCACAATTTTGGAGGGTCCAAAATGAACCTCCAAGGCTTGTAAAAAAGAATCCCAAGAATGAATTTGTTCACTAGAAGACATCCAATGATAGCAAGAAAAAGCTAGTCCATCCATGTGAAACAAAGAACAGATCAATCGTTGTTCAGATGGTGTGTCAAGGTTATTGAAAAATTGTTCAGCCTTAAATGTCCAACTTGCCAGATTTGAACCATCAAATCACAATAAAGTGAATTGAAAGATGTTGTTGCTGCCGCCTTAAATTCAGTCACTTGATTATCCAAAATACGTGTTCCATCTGCCATAGAAAAAGAACGAGAGCACCAATGATAGGGTTTGGGATAGGATATGTTTATATGAGGAACAAAAACCTCCAAGAACAAGAGATAGAGAGATTAATTGACAAAATTTGTTGAAGTGAAGACTGAAATAAGACATCTCTCAAGTTTAATGAAACGCAGCGTTTGGCATTTGGCTGAAACAAATCCTTATCATTGGATTAAATCTAATTTGATGGCTGAGAAGCTACATTAAGTCAACACTATAAAAGAGGTTCTGCACAGTAAAATGCAGCAGCATTTTTCTCTGATTAAAGAACCTTTACATTTGCGTTTTTCTCTCTGATATAGGTCTAAGAATTAATCTTTGTAACTAGTGTGATTGAGTGATTTGTTAGTCATTATGGAGGGCTTCTTTGCTCTTGTTCTTGGGGATTCCAGGTGAGTATCTCTAGGATTAGTTACTGATAAGATTGATTGTAATCAGTGAGAGTGTGATTCGATTTGTACTTGTTCTTGGTTGAATCTTGATAATAAGTAGTGCAGCGAGCTCTCCCATTTCCGGAGCTCAACCATTTCCGGAGCTCAACATGGACGTAGCTTATCTAATTTGGATAAGTGAACCACGGTATATCTTATGTTTTTGTTGGTGTGATTTGTGTGAATCTTTGTGATTGTTGAATTTGGTGGTTAGTTTGTGTTTACTAGTTGATTATAACAAAATTCTTCATTGATAACCGCAATATAGATTTAAGCTATTATATAGTCTTACACTTGACTCCAAATGACTCACAAAATGACTGTAATTCCTATTCTAATAGCATAATAGAGTAACTGTAATTCCTAATTTAAAAGATACCATAATTGTAAGATATCCTAAATGCCTAATTCTACTCATCGTATCCATTTTGGATATCTCCTCAATCATCCCATATTTGGGTTCCTAACATCCTCCCAAATCCCTTCCTCTTCTCCAACAAGTAAATATCGAAACTTTATGTTGATGAACCACTATTCTGCCTTCATTTGATTGTATTGGTCGAGTTGGCATAGGGAGAAAGAGTAAAGTTTTTTTAGTATAACCTAGAATGGAAGAAAAATAATTTAAAAAGAGAAAAAGATATATATAAGGGTTAGGATAATGTGACTTAATTTTCGACACTCCTAGTAAATCGTTTATTTTTGTTGATCTAAAGATGATGAAAAATACTGAGTTAACATTAAATGTAATTATCTTAAACTTTTGATCTTATCATTGTTGGATCAACAAAGGTAAACGACTAACAAGAAACGTCAAAAAATTAAGTTAGAGTTTCTCAACCTAATTTAAATGCTTTAAGTCTCTTTTGTCAAATTACTTGTGATCCTATAAATGCTCATTTAAGAGTTAAAATAAATGAAAAAACAGTCATGTGATCGTTATGTAAGTTTGGTGGGCATAGCGTGACCATTAATCTACCTATCAATCTCATCTATTTTACAGTACCACCCGAAGGAAGAGTTATTATTATATACCTCTTAATTATATTGATACCAAGTATTTAAAAAGGTATGATGAAGCTTCTTAAGAGTATAATTTAATTATTAAAACTCTCTTAAAATTATCAAATATATAATGCATGCCTCTCTCAATCATTATTGTCTTGTAAGAATAATAGAGTATAATTCTAGATTGCTGTAACATATACTGTGGTTATAAACTAAAGTAGTAAAAAATGGAGGTAATTTGGTTTAATTTGAATTCTCTTTGTCTACCATTAATAGAATGGAATAAACTAATTAAAAGTGAAAGGGTGCTCATTTAAAGAAGAAAATCCAAAACGTTTTGTGCTAATTCATGACCTAATGCTTTAGCCAAGAAATGACTTGTTTCATATTGCACAATATTATGAGAGATGATTTTCTCTAAATTTAAATGTTTTCTATTCAATCTTTAAAATAAAATAAGAAGGAAAAAGAATGTAGTCATGTGAAATAACTAAATAACTTTGGTGTGGGTGTGGGTATGGGTCAATGAATCTTAATCCACGTAAGAGTTCCATTTTTCCCGCACCTCCCCGTTCCCGATACCCTCTCTTAAGGAAAAATCCTCTTCGGCCCCTTTAATTTTGGTAAGACTTAATTTCGTTTCATTAAAATAAAAAATTATACTTTCATCAACGTTACAAATAATAATCATGATTTAATAGAAACTTTCACGTAAAGTCTAATTTATGTTTCTTGGAAGTCAATATAAAATATAAAACTAAAAGGAACTATGTATTTATATAACACTAAAATTATGCCATATATATATATATATATTAAAGTTTTATAATTATATATATTAAAATCATTTTTAACGACTTTAATAAAATAAAAAGTTTTTATTTTTATTTTTTTTCCGCATTTAAAAAAAATAATTCTAGTTTATTGACTTTGCTGTAATAAATTTACATTTTGACGGGGTTTCACTTGAATCCATTATCATTTTGCAAATTATATATTTTAGCTGTTTAAGTCATTATTCATTAATGTACCACAAATAAAAATCTATACATAGTTTGGGTGGGTGCATAGAAGTGTCACTCTCAGAGATTAGTGGATCATACATGATTCCACCAAAAGTGAGAGATCCAGCGGTAATTTTCCACCCTTCCATAAATTTCATTGATTCATACACACATGACACATACTCATAAACACAGAATCAGATTTCTTCAGCTATAAATCACCTCCTGAATTGGCTCTCCCCGCTGTACTCCGCATAACAATTCGTTTTAATTTTACTCAGTCTTCTTTTCTTATCAATTAACAAACGTATAAAGATTTTATTCCCTCAAGATTGATTAATGGGGAACATACAACTTCTTGATTTCGTATTGGCTTCGTCTGGGTTGTTGATGATGTTGGCTTATCACTTTTGGCTTATTCATCGTATCATTAAACACCCCACCAGAACTGTCATCGGTGTCAATGCCATCAACCGCCGCTTCTGGGTCCAAGCTATGATGGAGGTTCCTATTTTTCATTTTATTTTACTTTGAAATCCAAATTTTTACATGTTTATATTGAAATTGAAATTTATAGACATAATACTTTGTATGATTATCCGTTATAAGTTCGCACTAGAGAAGGACTATAATTATGAATAATCATAGGCATGCATATTTGGCAGGATGTGTCCAAGAATAGAGATCTTCAATTCATATATTGATCATTTTTCCAACATAGAATTGATGTTTTTTTTTTATAGTGTGGACGTCTGTTTCTGAGAATAACAATTCTATATTTGACAGGATGCGTCGAAGAATGGGGTGCTTGCAGTACAAACATTAAGAAACAACATAATGGCATCAACCCTTTTGGCATCAACTGCAATAATGTTGAGTTCCCTGATTGCAGTATTGATGACAGGTGGTAATGGAGATAGATCAATGTGGATTGTATTTGGGGCCAAAAGTGAACTATTTTTCTCCATAAAATTCTTCTTAATATTGGTATGTTTCTTGGTGGCATTCTTGCTGAATGTGCAGTCAATTAGGTACTATAGCCATGCAAGTATTTTAATCAATGTGCCATTCAAGAAGATGTATCAAAATGTTCATCATCACCAACTCACATCAGAGTATGTAGCCAGGACTGTGAATAAGGGGAGTTATTTCTGGTCTTTGGGCCTTCGCGCTTTCTATTTCTCTTTCCCTTTGCTCTTGTGGATCTTTGGGCCAATACCAATGTTTTTATCCTGTTTTTTTCTGGTTTTTATGCTCTATTTCTTGGATGTCACCTTTGAATTTGGATGGGCAGTTGCTGCTTGTAATGAAGAGGATGAAGATGAGGAAATGGGGAGAGTTAATTGATTTTGATGAAAAAGCTGAAGAAAGAAGAGAAGACCAATTCATATTCAATCTTGGTTGAGTTGAATTGTAATTTTTTGTTTCTTTTCCTTGGCAACTTAATAAGAGTACCCATTTGGGATAGAAGTTGTTTCAGTGCCTTTTCTCTTTTGATGCTTATTTTGCAAGTTTCCACCCAATTTCTGTCTTGTAGTAGTTGTGAAAAAAAGTGATAGAAGAATGGAGGGAAAATTGAGAACTCAAAAGATATCTACTTAAGTGGGATGCCATATGCCAAAAAGTTTACCCACCCTTAGAGGAGCTGTGTCACAATGTCAATAGAAAAACAAAAAGAAATTGACAGTGCTAAAGTGCTCTGTTTCTCACCCACCACCCGTTAACATGGTCTACAAGTTGAGGGGTCGTAAAAGGGGCAGTAAGGGGTAATGGGTGTGAGTGAGAGTTAGTTACGGGAATATACAAGTGGCTGGATAGAGTAAGGTTTGTTTGGTAAATATATGAGTACATATAGCTAGAGAGTGTTAAGGGAGGGATTAAGTAAATTCTTCATAGGTCATTAAGGGAGGCTCCCCAGCTCCTCGAACTGTTGGGAATCTATCTGCTTGGGTGCTATTTTCTTGAATTGTTATTTCAATCATTATATTAATATCAATTCAGTTTATATCAGATTGTGTGTTCTCCTTTTATATGCTCTTTTGTGTGTTGTGGTTGGATTTGGATTAATTTGACAGGAGGTTCCATCATAAGACAAACATATTTCTGTACTTATGAGATGTCATTCTACAGATAACAATTTTTACAGTTCTTTCATTCAACTAAAACTACAGAAACATATCACAAGTCAACTAGAACCCGTCAAATCTCCCTTCTTTCAGTGGCTTTGGAATCTGGAATGCTTAGTTGTGATTTCTCGAAACCCTGATTAACAGTCCTCAAATGTTTCTCATTCTGCCTATCAGTATATATGCATTTCTTCAATAAGATCCCTTGTCTTACATACAACTCAGAAAGCTCGTCCCAAATGGTTGCGCGAAAGAGAGGGGAACTACAAATAATATAACCTTGATCATGTAATCAAAGTACTCACATTAGAAGTGTGTGCAAGAACATTATGACAGATAACAATGAATACATTTTGTCAATTGTAGATGTAACACAAATCATTCTTTTCTCAAATTGTATTTGAGAACTAAAACACAAGGTAATTACTCTATTTTGTACTGATAATTGAATCGGTTAGACTAATACCAGTACCGTTAATCTACCAAAATATTGAAGGGCAAACTTGGACCTCAAATTATGTCAACCCCCTGTACAGGAATCATGCAGTAGGCCAATGTGCAGAAGATGCTATCTCGTAACCATGGTAATGCGTGCATTGTTGTTCTTATAATTTAGGTCACAATGTTGGACAATTTCAACTTCAACTTCATGTTGCCAACTTGTACTACTAGTTCTTCTTTCGATGGTTCTACTCTTAAAACTTTCCCTTTCTTTCCCAGGGAAGAAACCTGGACTGAATCACCAACCTCAGGAAGTCCACTTCTCTTTGCTGCATGGCAAATAAGAGAAAGGAATTCATCTAAAATGTTCTGGTTGGTATAAATTAAGATACCATAATTCTAGCATAAAGAAATTTTGCATAATTAGAAATGCACTGCAAACTATTTTAATTCCAGTCCGGCATGGCTTGGCAGAAGAAGATACCTGTTACTGATTTTTTGATAACTTTGACGGCAGGTGAACTCGTTGCAGGATGCTCACTTTTCCTGACATTGGTTTGCTGGGAATTACTAGCAAATATTTGCTGGCTTTTACCTACTTTAGTGGGCTGAGAAGGTTGAGCTGCGGGGGCACGAAGTTGCCGTGCTCTCTTGTGAACTAAAGAACGAGCCATTGCTGCAGCCTCAGTTATTTCTCTCATTTTCCTATATCTTTGCTTAGTACCATGTTCCATGAGCTTCCTTCGAGTGACCAAAAGATTTTCATAAAGATCTCTTGAGAGCCTAAGATCATGGGTACAAACAAATAATTAGAGCTTAGAGCATTTGCAAGCCTATAAGCTGTCTGTTGCGCTTAGTACATGTACAGCCTTTATTTTCAGCTATCTTCAAATCTTCAAAGCAGTTTTCATAAAATTGGACATCTTTTGGCAAAGGATATAACTTTTCTGTGTCTTTTATTTTTTCAGGACTTGCGTCATCCCCACTTGAAAGAATGCCAGTATAGAGAAGTGCAAATAAAACCTTAAAACTTCTCTCTTCATATTTTAGTTTAGTTTTGCATTTTGATCAAATGGAAATTCTAAACTACAAAACAGGGTAGCTCTCCACCAGGCTAAGCCTGACTGCTCTGCTCTAAATGGGAGATGTACCAATTAGCTATTTTAAATAAATTTTTTTTCCTATGATGCTACAAAGGTTATCAACATGCAAACATAAAGAACAAATAAAAACAGGGTTGCTAGGTTTATAGACACCAAATTTAGTGAATACCAGTTATGTCGTTAAAAAATCTCATTGGCTCATACGACACAGGTTTTATTGATGAAAATAGGTTAAGTGGTTCCTGGATACATGTTCTCTGTTAGTCTGAGAAAACAGTATAACAATAGCCAATTTTAACAAGCAAGAGAATAATCTCACATTAGAAAATTTCTAGCCTCATGTAAAAGCTCTTGAAATTCTTGCTTGAACCTTTCCATATCAATTATTACCTGCAGTAAAATAACAATATAATAAAGAATTGAAGTGCTGTTTGAAAGAACAACAGGAGAAGCTCCAATCATCTACCATAAATGCCACTTTAAACACAAATCATGCACAATTCTCCCTTTAGTGGAAGTTATACATCATCTCACCATGTACTAACTATTATTTAAATGACATTTTGGAGTTAAAAATTCTCTTCACCCTTTAAATAATTCCCAAATTCAACCACTATTTTAATAGGAGCCAAGTATTTCCATGCATCTCGATCTGATGATACCACTATGACACTTCTAATTGAGAATAAAAAAATAATATGCACATAACCTCATTAATCTCTGCACTAGCAACACCATATAGTTTACGCGCACTTTCAACAACTGTGCTGGGTAGTCCCAATCTTTCAGCTATATTGATTGCATTTGAACGACCTACAAGAAATGTCACACCACTTAAGTGCTTTTAAATGAAGTTGTCACTCCTAGCAAAAAAAGGATCATGTGGCATTATGATACCATTAAAGAAATCCCAAACTATCAGTAACTGCTTAGTGACAAATAGTGGTGTCCAAAATTTCTCAGAACAACTAAATTTCCATGTTAGCTGAAAGGCACAGTATTATGATACTTATAGGAAAGCTAAAGATTACAGCAAATCTTTATGTTGATTAAAAAACGGCATCTATTGTTAATTCTATTCATTTAATAGCTGATTTAGCTAGCAATGAGCAATTTTTTTTTCCAAATTTCTTGCGACTAACTTGTACAAGATAGTTCTAAATCTCTCTTAGATATAATTTATTGGACAAGCTGACTTCTTTTGATGTCTCATGATGCCTTCATGAATACTTCCTTTACATGTCTTGGCTTATTGCTAACTAGCTTACGCTCCTCATTTTGAAAACCCAGCTACTTCCTTCTTGGTCTAGTGGTTCGCACAAGATACAATCAGGTAATCATTAAAGATAAAGTGTAACCTTCACATGCACAATTGACAGGTAATCATTAAAGATAAAGTGTAACCTTCACATGCACAATTGACAGGTAATCATTAAAGATAAAGTGTAACCTTCACATGCACAATTGACGACCAGTATCTCACACATATAATGCATATCAACAGACAATTGACACAGTTTGGACAACTAAAACAGAACTACAGATTGCTAGGATATATAAAGCAGAATGTAGTTGTAGCAGGTCAATTGAATCAACCAGTTTGAACATGGTAAGCTACTCCTGGATAATGACATTCACTATTTCCATTCACCAAGAATATAGAGGTAGAAAACAAAAAGAACTTAGTGAAGTATTTAATTGTGAAACCTGGTACTCCCCAGAGGATCTTGTAAGTTGGCCTTAAATTAACTTCGTCGAACTCCATACAAGCATTCTCAAAGACATCATTACTGTCAAAGGAGCGAAAAACATGAGTCCAAGAATTAGAATATGCAACGGATCTTTTAAGCTTCTATGAATGCATGAGCTTATGACAGGCGTAGCTCAGTTTAAATCAACATAAACTGCATCTACCAAAATATCAATATGATATGCAGCTAAAAAAAAAGGACACACCTAAATTAGGTCAAGTTTAAATTGTTTGAGTTGACTCTGCAGTAATATGATCAGCTAGGTCTTATTTGGCTACCCAAGCAGCAATAGTCCATGGGCATTACAAAAAATGCATGTCTTTCAAACCAGAGTTATTCAAATGGCAAAATATATAAGCGTAAAACCTTTAGCTTGTTAATAAATACCTGTATTTCAATGTTTTAAGTTCACCATGATGTGTCGTAGCTATTGTCAACAAAGCACCAGTTTCAGCAAAAGATTCCAGCAGTGACATCCCAAGTGCTGCACCTTCAAGTGGATTGGTCCCTGCACCAACCTAATAATACCAAAGAGGCAGTAATGAAATAGAATTGTTTTCATGATACTTTCTTTTCCCAAGCTAGTGAAACAGTTGAAGTCGTAAACTTTCAATTATATAGTCAAATATGATTTAGTCCATAAATAAATTAGCGACATAAAATCATTCAAGTAAAAAAAAAAAAAAAGACAATTCAAACGTACTTCATCGAGTAGAACCAATGATTGGCTTGTTGACTGTGATTGTATGTCCTACAAGATGAACTGATTAAATTAAAAAGCAAATAATAAATAAATAATTTGGAAAAAGATATATCACGTAACATGAAAGGAGCATTCAAGTGAACTCTTGCGGGAAATCTATAATCCTTGAATTGAATATGCTGCTCTCTTTTTGATTAAGATACCAAACCAGTATATTTGTTTAACTTATAAAATATTACAGGGATCAAGATACCTTTTAACATAATGAACTTCAATAAAATTGCAATTTAATGGCATTCAAGAAATCAAAATGCTTTTTCTATCTAATCTGTGAAAAAATCTAGAATATCACAGGGGTATCACATCGTCCATACCACCATCCAGTGATATTATGCCATCTTTGAAATTTTTCTGTCTCATCTATATTTACATTGGATTTCATTGGTAGTATAGTTATTAAATGCAATAACTAGTCGACATGCATGTATTGACTTGAGGTATCATGTCAGTTATATCACAATCTACCATAGGCTTTCTCTTAATCCGTTCATGTGCATGTGATAATTAATAATTAGATGCCACTTAAACCAAAGCTTATAGAATTGAGTATCCTGACACTAGTCTATGTAGATAGTATAAATAATCCATAGAATCTGCAATAGCATGTAATCGACTTGAATTCTCAGCTGATTATATAATTACAAAAGGAATAAGTAAAAGAATCATAAAAACTGAAAATTGCATGAGTAATTGCGTAAAAAGACAAAACCAACAAGGATATCTACATAAATGCACAACATAAATGCAGTCATTAATGGTTGGTGACTACCAACTTGACAAAGTTCAGGAGTACTAGTTCCACCAGAATCACAATTGTCTTTTTCACATTTTTCATTTGGAAATTTTACTAATGAAACAAAATTACATGCGCAAACAGTCAAAGAAATGCACAAATGTGACAACTGATGCAAAATGCAGAAGGTTAGGATTTGAAATAGAGCATGCACTTGAAAGTATCAAAACTGCAAAGCAGTTTATTCTGGCGAGTTCATCTCAGCAAAAACTCAACTCAAATGAGATAAGAAAAGTTCTAGAAGGTGAATATCCTTACACTTATTTGTTTCAAGTGGCCAGAGAAGGTAGATAAAGATTGTGACAACGACTGTTCATCACCAATATCAGCAAAAACATAATCAAACCAAGGAACTTGTGCAGGTTCTGAAGATAAAACATAAAGGCCTGCAGATTAATCACAGAAATTTCATATAATAAGTGGATGAAATTTTTTTTTTCTTCTATCTTATAAATTTTATCTAATCATCATATACTAAGGGTAAAATTAGAATCATTAATTTAAAAAAAATGTTGTAAAATAAGAAAGCAATTAAATTTACTTGTCTATATCATGAGCACATGTGTCAAACGATTTGCATAAGGCTTCCATCATAATCATTAATCAGTAGATCCTACTAAACACAAGGACTTGGAAGTCGGATTCTAAATTTAGTTTTTACTGTGTAAGTAGTTTGTAACTCTCTAGAGTTCACATTCAATGCCAGATTTTAGGCCGTTAATACTTTGATTAGAAAGATCCAACTTTGACTACCTTGGGAGTAAAAGCAAGTCTCGAGTAATTACATAAAATAAAAGCATTGGCATAGTTGTCACATTTATCTCATACGAGCATATACAGATGATATAGGGATAGAAGAAATAAAATAAAAGTACCTGATTTTGCCATCATAGCTGCCAATCCAACTGTCTTTAAGCAAATAGTTTTTCCTCCAGTATTAGGACCGGTTATAACCAGAACTTTTGTTTTCCGAGCAATATAAAAATCAACTGGGACTGGTTGATTCAGTTCTAATGCAGTAACCTGGCAAATGATAGAAATTAGTATTGAACAATTATAATAATAAGATACAAACAAGAGATCATGAAACCTTAAACTAAACTAGTACTATCAATTTGCCAATCTATAATCTTTAATAATTACCTGTTTCTCTAATGATGAAAGATTTATATCTGTTTGGCCTTCCCGTGCCATGTTCTCCCTTTGCAGTTTTCTCCTCCTGATTTCCTAAAGCAGAATGTAGAGAATCGAGTAATAGATAATAAGAATAACGATTAAAACCTAGTTAGTTGTCAGACAGGGTTCTTACTGAGAATAACTGTAATGCTAATCCTAGAATATAAAAAATAAATATCAATGTCATTACAAGAAATGTCCCAAACCTGAATTTGAAAATTTTTTGAGTCAAATTATACTCTAAAATTTCTGATTTGTTAGGAAAAGAAAAATTAAAGACAATTTAATAGATCAATATAACTTACAGCAGTAGCATTTTTGACATCCTTCCAGGCCATCTGCAGATTTTGCTTTTGTTGCTGAAGTAATAAAGGATGATAAGCCTTAGGCAGATATAATGTCCATTCCTTTTTGGGATATGACACCGTTGAAGTTATGGTGCGAGATGAACTAGCTTCATGAGTTAAAGATCCATCCTTATCTTCTGGAAGACATATATAAGGACATGTGCCCCCAAACGAAAGACTATAACTTGCTCGAGCATTGATCTACATGTAAAAAGCCAAGACCTGAAAATTATATGCTTGCATATTTTCTAAATCTTCTCCATACTCAGTTCATATTTAAGGACTTCCCTGCTAGACACTAGGTTAAAACTCAAATAAATCACCTCTCAGACTTTTGAAGTAGGCTAATAACATATAGAGTAATGCTACAGTTACCGACGGGTGTGCACCGAATTTGTGCACCGAATGACGTGGCTAAATCCTGACCGTTTATTTATTATCAGTAAATATTAATCAACGGTCAGGATTGTACCACGTCATTCTGTGCACAAATTCGGTGTAAACTTTTCGGTAACTCTATCATTTTCCTAACATATATCAGGAGTGGGAAAGCATCAGACACCTACCACATCCAGTTGAATTACAGTGTTCAATATCTTTTCAATGTCATCAAGATCAGCCTGCATCTGTTTAGGATATTGGAATATAATGTGATGAGTAGATGGGTAGTATGAATAAAGAAAAGAAATTTCACCAGCTAGAGCCAGAAACCTTTGCTGTTAAAGTCAAAAGCACATCTTCCTCAGCCTTGGCTGCTAACGCTCTTGCTTGTTGCAACTCATCATTGAGAGGAACAGCTGAGAGTGGCTCTGCAATGCTTCCTATGCCTGAACCACTGCAACAAGCAATACTACCTTCAGAACTATATTAAAGTGTGTTCCATCATATGGAAGTTCATTAATATGAAAAGAAAAATAACAGTCAATTCACATAAAATGACAAATCAGGATGTCCCCATGGTATATACAGCTTGCATTGCAAAAACTAGAACTGGTCTTTTCAAAATTTTACAAGGCGATGAAGGAGGAAAAAGAAAAAAGAAACTGTTTATGAAAGTTCTTCTGTACTGTAATTTGGAACAATCCTCTACAAGGTGGCACTGATTATAGGATCATAGCGCTATATGGTTTGGTTCTACCTTGTGTTTTGATGATCATGCAGTTATCTTGATATTAATGACTGTTTATAACAATTGCAGTGCAAGAACATCACAGGCACTTATGCATGACAGATGCACACGTCCACACGCACAATGGAGAGAGAGTGATTGCACATGCATATAGAAACCAAAGTATTTTCCACACTTACACAAAGTAATTGAAAATTTTATTGTATACAACTTATGCACCTGGACAACAAAAGACCCTTAAAATTTAGCTGATCACTCCCTGATTTTATACACCATCTGCCATCAATGTTACTCACTTCCTAAAAACAAAGCTAAAATTAAGATGAAAATCATGAAATAGAAAAGGAATACATGTATTTTTCTCTTTATTTCAGTCATATATTTGTAGTAACAAATCAAGTGAATCTGCTCTTACCAGAAGAGATGCTTCCTGATTTTCATCCCTAACTAGCCTGTCCATTAATTGAAATAACTGCATAGAGAAGACATCAACATAGCTAAAGCTAAAGCACTTTTGGACAAATTTGTCAGAAAATGATAAGATCAAAAGGAATAGTCAACAAGGCATGCAATATGCAACTTTAAAAAAGAAAATCAATAAATGGAAATAACTGTTTTCTGGAACATAGCAGCACATTAGATTGAACTTATCCTGATAACATATACATTGGCATCACCTATTAAATAGAGGGTCTTGCTTGATACACTTACTGAATGTAAAATGTAAAATGGTACATAAATTTGATCTATTTTCAAACCAAAGGGAATTCTCCAACCAATAAGAACAAATGGAAATTTCAAAGCAATTACCTTTCTTTCAAGATTTTGCACTCGCTCACGAGATTGTCTCAGGACAGGACTCTGAGAGAAGGGGACAAATGATAGAACACATAAATTTATCAATTATAGTAAGGAATGTCAGTGATGTGATTAAGAAACATACTGCAGAATCTTTAACAGAGCCATCTTCATCCACCACTTGCTGTATCAACTTAATTAACGATCTATTCACAACAAGTTCCATTATCTGAAATTCAATTCAATTCAACAGAACATAAGACTTTATATATGTGGATATGTCACAAATTTGAAGAATAAGGACATTGCTTTATGATCAAAAACTAGTTTTCAGAAACTAAAAGGCTAAAAATAGTGTTAAAAAATATGTAATAATAAATTTGATATTATAATAAAAAAATGTATTTTCAGAGTTAAAATCTATAAAAAAACCAAACAACTCTAACTCGTTTTATGATTTTACACTAGTTTTTTAGTATTTATCCAAAACTGTTTTTGTGAACATTTTAATTCATTAAAAAAAATTTCATTCGCTTGACAAAAAAATTGTATTTAAATTCTATATCAAACAACAATTATATACTTTTTCTTGTTCTCTAACCTTACACTAATTTTTACAAATGCACCGAATTTTCAAAATAAAAAACGACAATTATTATATTCGTTGCTTTCACTGACATAAAATTATACGTAAATTCTATATACAAAGCTTTAACTCACCATTTTAACTCATTTAAAAAAAAAAAAAAAAAAAAAATTCTTGAAAAAAATTCAATCAAACACATGTTCATACAATTTATTGTATTCCTTATATTCGGAAACAAATGTTATCTTCTGATTTAGTAATTTACCAATTCAGAAAGAGGCATGAAACGCGTGTACCATTCAGCATCTTCTTTGACAGCAGCTTTAAGATTAAGCTGCAAATTTTCCAAAAACTGCAACAGAGAAACAACTGCCAGCGCTTCATCACCACGCAACGGCAGACCTCTACGAGAATGCTGTACGGCAGACTTGACGAGACTGAGGTCAACGCCGGTCAAATCCAAACTGCACGCGCCGTGTTTGAGAATTTGAACGGCCGCATTGGTTTCAGTTTGAAGCTTAAAAGTGTCTTGATAAGTTTGGTCAGTGAACCATAGCTGGTCTTTGGTGGCTTCCCGGCCCAAAGAAGTGCGCGCGAAGGAGGACACGGTGTTGCAGAGCTTGTCCCATTCCAAAACGCGGAGAGTTTCGAGTTCGGCTCCGGATTTGTTGTGATTAGGTGAAAAAGAGCAAAAAAATCTAAAGTTTCTTCTTGTTCTTGTGCTTCTGCTTCGGTTAATTGAAATTGATGTGGTGGTGATGGTAAAGACGGAGATGGAATGAGCAAAAACTGCACACAGAGGCATTACAAATGGATGAGGAATCCAAGTGTCTAGAGCCGTTTTTGTAATGTCGTTACTTTTAAACCAGAGTTAATAACGTTAATACCCGTGGGTGATAAATAAAAAAGTTATTGAAAATTTTCAATTATTTAATTTTAAGGGTTAGAATAAAAATTGTTAAAATTTATTAATTCTTTAACATTAATAATATATTAATGTTTCATTAATAACAAAAAGAATTTTGTTACTATTGAAATGATAAAAAGATTTTTGTTATCATATCATAATTTAGGGGTCAATGTTTTAACTCAATAAAACATATCCAAAAATGTTTTTGAAAGGAAAAGAAGAAAGGGAATTTACCTAAACCCATTGAGGTATGACCTAATTTATGACTCTCAACCCCCACAGTTAGTTAAAATTACTTAGTTTTGTAATCCGACAACATTAGAGCAATTAAATACCCTTTTTACCCCTTTTGTTCTTAAAATAAAAATGTTTCAATTGATTAAAAAAAGATGTTTTTATCAATTTGTGAACACTTTTTTCAAAAGCTAATCAAGAAAGGATAGACGTTTTAGAACATAAAAAAGGGATTTTTTTTTGTTGCTGTTAAATTCAACGAAAAGATTGGAAGACATAAAGACCCTTAACAAATATTAAAGGAAAACATTAAAATTCAGATTATTTATAAAAATTGAAAAAAAATTAAAACTTAAAAATAATTTTATTGAAAACATAAAAATTAACTAATTTTTTATTGAAACATAAAAAATTACTAATGTTTTTTAATATTTTCAATTATTAGAAATTTCAAATATTTTTAAATAAAAAAGATAAATATCATAATATTTTACAACTATTCATACATTTAAAATTAAAAATAAAAATATAAAAAATTAAAACTAGAAATGTAAAAAAAAAAAAAAAAAAAAAAAAAAGGTGGCCAACACGAGGTTAGCATCATTAGCCATTGTTAGCTTGCTTGGCTCGGCCTGGCCAAATAGAGGCAACCGTTGGCATGGCAGATATTTGTCCTGATCGTTGGCCTCTATTTGCCAGGCCAAGATAGGGTGGGGCGGTGGGCAAGCAAGCTAAAAAATGGCAAGAGCTATCGGCATCGTCGGTGTTTACATCGTTGCCTATTTTTCTTTTATATTTTATAGTGTTAAATTTTAAAATTATTTTAGTAAATTTAATTATAGTTGTAAAACCTTTTTGAATTTTAGATATTTATGAAAGATTTCGAGTTTTTAAATACCTTCTTGTCCTTAAGAATTAAATCTAGAGAATAGTTCCAAACCCTCTGGTTTCTCTTTATGTACCTAAACTTGAGGTATCAGGAATTATCGTAATCCCCTTACCATTTTACAAACATTATAATGTGTAGACAATAATATACAAACGGCAAAAAGGTTATCCATATAAAATGTTCTCGACTAAGTAAAATATTCCGATTTAGTGTAAGAGGTAAAAAAGTAATGTCACTAATTTTTGTAACTAATAAACTTTATAAAATAAAAAAATAAAATCCAACTCATGAATGGGTGCTCCCATCCTCCCTCTCCAAACATCACCATTGTAACAACAACTCTTTAGTCTCACCACCAGCAAAAAATTCTCTCCACGTATCATAATAAAAATTAGTGCTCAAATTTGGCATTATATCAAGAGTAATGATACACTACAATCTTTTTTACAAAATTTCTTTTAACCTCGACGTGTGTATTCGCAATTGGTTAGCGTAATTATCAGGGGGACCAGGTGGAACCCATTACAAGATACCAATTACGAGCTGTCACTTGGGGTTATAAGAGGAAGTTTGTGAGAAAATGTTGTGAGTGTAGCTTTTCCTTATATAAAATAGGAATAATTTAGCATATTTATTAAATAATAATATTAGGTCCACAAACTTCTTCACAATTAGGATTGTAATCGAGGTGAGCCGAGCTTTCACTTATCAAGCTCGACTCGATTGCTATAGGTTGAGCTCGAGTTCGAGCTTGAGCTTGCGAGCCAAGGAAAATGTTGCTCGTTCCAGACGAGCGAGTTCGAGCGGCTTGTGAGCTCGCGTAAGTTTTTAGAGAAGAATTTGTGAGTTTTCATTACTTACTCATTGTGCTTCCTCCTGTAGATTTTGTGGTCGATTTGGAGGAGAAGATTGGTTTTGCACTTTGGGGGATGAAGTCGTGATTCCTCCAGTCGTCAATTGATCGGCGACGGCAAGACAGGGGATGAAGTCACTGATTCACTGTGGACAATTTCCACTTTAGGGGTTTAGGGTTTTTGTTTGTGAGTGGTTGTTTGGGGGTGTTTAGATTGTGTTTTAATATTTTGCGCTTAGGGGGGTAAATGTCATTTTTTTATTATTTTTAAACTTCAATATAACACTTCAGTCCACATGGTTTAGATGACCCCCCCCTAAGGATTGAACTCGACTCGTTCTATTACAAGTTCGAGCCTAGTCAACTTGAAAACAGTCTAGTTGAGCTTAATGAGCTTCAAATAGTTGAGTTGCCAAACTACTTGACTCGTTTGATAACTCGACTCAAAATCTCTAATGTGGTAGCTCGTCATTGATTAGCTCGCAAATGGGCATGCAAGACCTATACAAGCAGGTGGACCATTTTGCGAGCTAACTAATAACGAGCTACCATAGTGGGGGTTTTGAGAGAAGAATATAGGATTGGGTTCTAGACCTAGCATTACTTATTAATAGGGTAGAATCCTATTAGATATGAGATCAGGTGAAATAAGAAATTAGGATGAAAGAGATGATGTACAATTGACTTGATGAGACTGAGGTTAACGTTAGTCAAGTCCAAACTGCATGTGCCTTGTCTGAGAATTTGAATAGTGGCATGGGTTTCATTGAAGAGTTAAATTGCGATCGAAGGAGGCTACAAAGTTTCAAAGATATTAGCATTGGATTTTTGTTGTGATTAGATGAAAACGAGTAAAACATCTAACATTTCTTCATGTCCTTATGCTTTTCTGCATTAGAAATGGGAGAAAGTCTAGTATACCAAAACCAGTCCATAGATACCAAGTAGTTTATGACTTTATATTTAATAATTACTACTAACAAACTAATTTATAGATTAGAATAGTGATGTGTGCTTTCACAAACATGCACATTTAACAAGTGCACTAGTCACAAAAGTAATAAAATGATGAGTCAAATATTGTTCCACCAGGATTGAGTGCTAAGTACTAATTTCCTAATTTAACTAATTGAAGAGCACAAATTCGGATTTGCGGACCTACTAAAACTAAATTAGAACAAAACAAAAAGAGCAACTAAAATTAACACAATAAAGCAATTTAATAACGGAATACAATTCAAGAAGAGAGGTTAGGGTTTCATTTCACTAAGTTACTCCATTCAACCTACTAATCCTATCATCTTCAAGTTACATGCACGGATTACAAATCGGATCCCTAAGTTGTAAAATATACCTCTCAGGCTATAAATTACTACTTATCCCTATTAAACTTCTGCACCCAACAAAATGAAATTTAATAGTTCAAAGTCCTTAAGCAAGTGGAATCCCATAAAGATTTCATAGATTACGTTTGTCTATCTCTAGTTTTCGCTCAATCTATGGTGTTTACGCAAGAAGGTAATGCATGAATCACTTCTCAGTCTCATCATGCTCAACGTTCATTTGATTCAAAAACCCAACACATAAATGCATTAAGAACAAAGTTAAATACTTAATCTATACAATAGAACTCAACACAACAAGATATTATAGATCAAACCATTGTAAACAAGATCCATCAAAACCCTAACCCAAAAACGAGTTAGTTCATGTTCAAAATGGAAATAAATATCATACTAACAAAATCAGAGTTCACATCCTAAAAACAAGAAAGGGAAAAGAAACTTCTCTAATTTTGGAGATCCAACTCTTCAAATCTTCTTCTCCCTCCCTTTTTCCCAAAAGTCGAGGCCGCCCCCCCCCCCCCCCCCCCTCAAATGAGCTAAGTTACTCTTAAATGTCGGCCCAAACCCTAGGACCTAATACAATAATAAAAAAATGCAGCGTTTTAACAAAAACTAAAAATGCAATTTTTTGCTGTGGCATCAACTGAATTTCATTGACCCATGCGTCCAGAGGCTAGCTTGTGTTGCGAAAGAAAACCGTGCCACGTGAACTCCTGATCTTTTTGCTAAATTACGGAACTCCCTGCGCTTACTTTTTTGCTTGAATTTTCGATCTTGTGATCCAATAGGAACAAACTCCAAGGGTGCTTCCAATCAACATCATAATTCCGATTTTCTGAATTTTCTCGATTCCAGGTCCAAAACTCGTGTTTGCTGGTTTTGCTCTCCACTATAAATTTTGGCCTAAAACATAAAATATGCAGAATTAAGTAATAATTCAGGCACAAAACTCGTAAGAAGTATCCGAAATCCTACAAAAAATCATAAGAAAATAGTATAATCCGATTATCAAATAGAGAAAGAATTGGGGTGGCATAAATTCACAGTAGGGTAGCCTAGAGGATGAAAATATCCACAGGTTTAGTCGTTTAGGTATTGTTAACGTCTCTATTGGGGATGCTGATAGGGGAGTTAATTTCAATGTTTTAATAACCAACTCGGGGTGAAACCGGCAAACTGACTGGGTCTCAAGTAGCCGGTTAAACCGGTTGAACTAGTTGGTTCAATCGATGATGTATGCAACGTCAACATGACACCAGAAAAAAAATTCAGAATCCAGAATACAAATTCTGAAAAAAAATTTCCTAACAATGCATCATCAAACATCAATACAATCCCTGTTACAACTGATTACAACTCAAAATAACAAATTCATAAAGAAATCATGTAATAATTAAAAATATTCTAACAAAAAGTCTTCTTCACCAAGATCTTCAATCCATCCTCAATTGAACTTCATACACCATATGATAGATGATCATTCATTATCACATGATCAACATCATCTACAAAAAAATCCATCAAAAAATGAAAACATAGTTAAAACTTCCATTTTAAACTAATTGAATTATAGAACAACCTGTTTGATTAGG